AAAAATCATCTTTAACATAATTAAAGGAGGAAAATATTAAATATATGGGGGGGGGAGGGGAGGAAGCAGTGATATTAATAGGAGTTTTGTTCTGTTTTAAGCCGACTTTGGTTTTTGCCATGGTCAGTTGTCTGTGAATGTGCTAGAAATTATAGGTTCAGTGCATCTGAAGGGCACCAAATTGGGGAAGTTCTCCTGAAAGGGGCGTGTGTGTGTGTGTGTGTGTGTGTGTGTGTGTGTGTGTATACAGATACTATATATGCTTCTATGACTAATACTATGACTATGACAATTCTCAGAAAGAAGGGCTGTTGTGGTTCACTGACGGCCGAGTCTAGAGAAGACTCGGACGAGAGTCCTGCATCCAATGCAGAGATGGGGCCAGGACCATCTGGGAGTGGGGTGCTGTCTCCGGAGCCTCTGACGTCTGGCAGTAGTGAGGCAGAGGACCCAGGGAAGCCTGCTCCCAGTGCGTGTGTGCGCAGAGCTGCTAGAAGGCAAGAGCAGCTGAAACCAAAGGGGTAACTCAGGAGTAAGTCTGGGAGGTGATTGCCCCTTCCATCAGGTATAATGTCAAGTTAGGGTCAAGCCTGAAATTGACATATAAAAGACCAGCAAAGATGACGAAACCTTTGCAAGAAGCAAAGTAGTTCGTCCAGTTCAGATTCATTCTTGAAGCTCTTTGTACTTTGGTTGGTTTTTTTTCTAGTTCATTTGATACTTCTGTTATTGGCAGCACTTCACAGAAAAGAAAGGTGGGTGCTTATCTGAAGGGACTGCTTGAGATTAATTCTGGCTGGGAATGAAAACAGTTCCCAGCGCTGCAATAAAATAAGTCTTGTTTTTAAAATAAGAGTGTGCGTAGTAACAGTCTAGGAAGCCTTGGTCAGAACAAACAATTGGGAATACAGGCAGAATTGGGTGCTATTGTCTATCAAACCTAGCCCCACATGCGACAGAGTTGTTGAAAGTGACATGGTAGAGAGAAGTATATACAGCTGTCTTCCAATCCTGAAAATCAAGTTCTGGCCACCAAATGTTCTCTGGCAACTAACCTATTTTCTTTTATAAACTCGGAGAAGCAAATGTACTTTTCTCTTTTTCCGTATTAGAGGAACATACATTCTCCGCCTTGATCAAAGCAAGCTTTCATTCGAAAGCAGCCTTTCGCTTCCTAGCCCTGACTACCCAAAACCCTATTTCAGTGGTCAGTTCTGGAGACGGGTTGCCTACGGCTTCAATGGACACCATGCTTGCTATGTGATTAAGGAAGTTTCAAAGATTACAAAATCATCAAAGTCAGAATGTCCTGGTTTTATGTACAAGCAAAAGCAAAGAGAAGGAGAGCAGATAAGGGCAGGAATTTGACCTAATAAAACAAATCAACAAGGGTGAACAAGTCTGGGCTTGCTAGCTAAAGGCCACAAATAAAGCATTTCTGATTGGACCTACATTTCATGGGAAAGGGATTATTCTTTTTAGTTATCAAGCTTTTTTTTTTTACCACGTCCAAGGCAGCTTAGAAAGATTAAGAGAAAAGAGCCATTCATTCAGCCTTATTATCTAGAAGTCTCAAAACAAAAGAAAAAGAAATGGGGGTATAGCTAGGCTAGGCATCCAAATTGCACTAGAGGTCACGCCATGATCTAACTGGGACTTGGGATACCTTTGACAAAGAAGTGCATGCTGGCAAGTTCAGCACTTGCTAGGACTTCAGATTTTCTATGGGTTGCAGCTATTAACCCCATCATCAGGAGTTACACCTTGTTATGCTGTACAAAAGCAATGATCTTCCAGTTATTTCAGAATTACAACTCCCAGGAACCCCAGATATCCTAGCCAAAGATGAAGAAAGCTGGAAGATCAGTGCAATGATATCTGTAGGGTTAATGATCTCCTCGGTTTTGCATTATAATGCTTTTAAAAACCACGCAGATGGGTCTCTGCAGCCTGCTTTCCTAATCACAGCCTCCTCTTTTCACACATATAGAACAGCAGGAGATGTCATTCAATCTATGTTTTTATTTTGCTGGCACAGAAACACAGCAACAAACCGGCCAGCTCTCTCTTGCTTTTGATGCCGGCCATAGAAGAATAAATGTCCCTTCTTCTATGTCCAGCACAGACTGCTCCTTTCATTCTCTGCCAACCTATCTGGTAGAAGTCTAAATGTTTATCTGGCTAGGAGGGGAGTCTCCTTTTTGGGCAGCATGGCTACAGAGACTACCAATATCTTAATAGTTCAATAAAATTGATATGAAAATAACATTTATAGGATGATTGATACACTATACTATATTGAAGGATGTAATTTTAAAAAGTGAAGGTAAAGGTTCCCCTCGCACATACCTGCTAGTTGTTTACGGCTCTAGGGGGCGGTGCTCATCTCCGTTAAAAAGCCGAAGAGCCAGCGCTGTCCGAAGACGTCTCCGTGGTCATGTGGCCGGCATGATTAAATGCCGAAAGTGCATGGAACGCTGCTAACTTCCCACCAAAGTGGTCCCTATTTTTCTACTTGCATTTTTACATGCTTCCGAACTGCTAGGTTGGCAGAAACTGGGACAAGTAATGGGAGCTCACTCCGTTACACGGGGCTAGGGATTCGAACTGCCAAAATGCCAGCCTTTCTGATCTGAGGGATGTAGTTAAGAATGTGTAATTCAGAGACATATTTCGGGGGACCAAATACAGGTAGTCCTTGATTTACAACAGTTCATTTAGTGATTATTCAAAGTTACAATGGCACTGAAAAAAGGGGAGTTATGACCATTTTTCACAATTGACCATTGCAGCATTCACGTGATATACATTTGGATGCTTAACAACTAACTCACAATTATGACGGTCACAGTTCCCCGGGGTCACATGATCCTTTTGTGACCGTCTGACAAGTGAAGTCAATGGGGAAGCCAGATTCACTTAACAACCGTGTCACTAATTTAACAATTGCAGCGATTCACTTAAGAAATGTAGCGAGAAAAGTTGTAAAATCGGGCAAAGCTCCCTTAACGAATGTCTCACTCACCAACCTGAATTTTGGGGGTCAATGATGGTCGTAACTTGAGGACTGCCTGTAAGACATTCAGGTTACAGTGCCCTCAATCACACACACAAAATTCTGCATTGAGCATGGCTATCTATAGAGACGCCAGTATTGGCATTCCTGTTATTTCTCCCTCCTGCAAACGAAAGCTGTGTTTCCAAGTTCCACTTCAGGACAGATGCCTGCAGGTGAGTAATCTGCTCATGTGACAAGCTCTGAAATGCTCCAACATTCAACTTTGCTGAGAGTGAGTTTTCCAATAGGATTAGAGAGCAAGGTTATAAAGAAATGAGCCTCTTTGATCTACCAGAGTACGAAACCTCCCAGGAGCTTTAACACCTCCCAAGGACAATGTGGCTATTTAGCAGCCTGCAAGGAAATTTAAATGAAGTTTTTGGGTTTGGGGTTTTCCCTTTGTACACTTGTTTCTCCTGCACTGCTCAAGGTGCCAGCGCTGCACCATGCTTCATTTCTATGTTGGCTCCCTTGAAAGAGAACTTCACAGAACTCTTAACAAGTATGCACAGAGCTGACCATACTAATTAATATTCAAAGCAATCTCCTAACCACTCCGTTTCTTTCTTCTATCAAGAGCCTATCTCTTAGTTAGATGATACTGATAAACCATAAGCTAATAATTAATCTCTTCTTTAGGGAACATTCACTTTGATTTACTTATGCTTTTCACAACAGCAGGGTTTTTTTTTAGTATGATTCTCTGTCTTTATTGAACTCTCTTCAAATACTTTTCCATCTACATAAGCCTTGCAGGAAGATACAGTAGAAGGATGGACTGAAGTAACGTTTAAAAACAAACAAGACAGTAATCTTGAAATGATTTCTAAGCTCGTGTCTGAAAACTAATTATTCTGAGCTGTTATTCATTTATTAGATGTTTTGTTTTATACTGAGCAAAATCAAAATTAGATATCACAGCAACATGCACCATTCATACAATACTATAGTATCATACAATACTAAGTTCTATGTACTTTTAAGAGTAGGACTTCAATTTCTTATTTTAAAAAATGTGATGATTACAATCTTTCCCCCCTCTTCTCACTGTACAGACATTACTCTACTTACAAACAGATTATGCTCTGTGTTTTGCTCCGTGAGAGGCTGTTCACAAGCCTGTTTTGTTCACAAGTCCAAACTAGTGTAAACAAAGATGTGCAGCAGAGTTCTTACCTTACATAAGTGACAGCAACATGGTAAAGCCTGGTAGTTATGGTGATGGTATTGGTTCATCCTTTGAAGTTGATGCAGCAGGTTTCTCTACTTTCCAGAAGTGAATTTTGAGTAGTGGTCTTCCTCTTTTCTTCATAGATGACACTGTAGCAGCACATCGCATGATGGGCAGGCATTTTGGTGAAGTGCTCAATATTAGGGTTCTTCATCTTGAACAATGACAGCACTTTCTCCATCAAGCTGAATCGCTCAAGCTTGCTCTGGGACTACTTCAATAGTTCCATCTCTTCTTCTTCTTCTCCTCCTTTTTTTTTTTTTTTTTGGCTGACTTTCCATGAGGTTGAATTAGATAAAGTTTGGAGAAGACGGAAAGGATTGGCTTCCTGCATGCTGCGTACAGATGTGGCACATTGGAAACTAACCCTTTCCCACCTTTTCTTGACTTCTGGGACCTTCTAAGATGGACTTGTGGACTGGTTTGTTCATATCAGTGAATGTTCACAACTCAAAAGTTTGTAAGTAGAGTAATATCTATATCTCTTTGCATATATTTAGTTACTCTTAATTGTGCTTCTTTGATCACTTGCTATCCTACTAATAGCAAGAATGACTTTTACTTCTCTTCCTAGCTCAACCAAAATCATGTCAGCCCTTTCGCTGCCATGTCACAATGGTAGCTTATAATCAGATTCTTAAAAAAATATCATCAAGAATTTTCAGAATTTTGCTTCTTAATTAGGTGCATTTATCCAACTGTACAACTTACCTCTACAGTGTGGGCCTTCATCTGCACCATCTATGCAGTCACGTTCGCCATTGCAAAGCTTGGTCATGGGAATGCAAAGTTCAGTCCCCAGGCAGTTGTACTCATTTGGATGGCACCTTGACACCTTGCTATGTGGACCTGGAAAATAGGAAGAGTCATTGCCATTATGAGGGTCTCCAAGGATCCCAGCACAAATATTTTAATCTATAGGAAATCCTAGAAGAAGGAATGGAGCCTCATGTGTAGGGATGGTGCTTAGACACATACTGCACATTCCTTTATATCTAGAAAGCAGAATGCATTAGCTCATATAATTGCTAAGGAAATGAATGTGGGAATACAACAGGCCTAATGCTAGTCTTCACTCAAATGACCTTGGTGAAATGCACGCACAACTGTTTTAGTAAATAGCTAGGGTTTTTTAATTCTATTCCTGGTAAATGTTGGTTTAAAGCATATATTTGAGTACGCCTTTTCAGTCTTAAAATTAATTTGAATTCACCTAGGAAATTTTTCAAGTAGTTTGGAGTGCAAAGGATTTCAAAGGATTGAAACCATGCTGACTTATGGTAGCTGCAGTCCAAAATATCTGGAGGACACAAAGCTACCTACTGCTGACCCAGATCTTTTTTCCACAAGGCTATGAAACCTTAGATTGTGTTTCCAAGGGAAACATACTAAGTGAATTAGTTTGAGTAACTCTGTATTAAATATTAATTAAGCCAAATTCTTTTATGGCTCAGGTTAGAAGCCTTGGTAGGTACTGATCTATCAGTCAAAGTATTCTGCTATGTAGAATAGTCCTTCCATCAGCCACTTAATCATTGCTGGCATGAAGAACCTTAACAAACTACTTTACCTATTTTAAAAGCTAATAAATGAGGTAATTAATTTCATGTGACAGGTTTGTGATACACCCCAAAGGGTTGCATTAGACAGGAATTGTTAACATTATAAAAAAGCGCTTTAAAAGTTGCTGTTCTTTTGCCCATAAATATATGGCCTCTCTAATTGAGTTGGCTACAATCCAAAAATAAATACAATTGAAAAAGGAAGAATTGAGAAGAAGGTCTGAACTGACCTTCTAAAGAGCTAAGCAGGGATGATATTTTAAGGGTAAAAACAACAGAAGATTCCATTTTTTAATTAAAAAAGAAGTCACATTCATTTTAATTTGATATCAGAGAATGTTTCTGCTAAAACATCAGGATTGCTGCTATTATGCAATTATTATTAATATTAAATGGCAACTGTTATTGATATTACTGCTAGCAATTCTCTAATTGTGAGTATCAGCAAGGGAAAGCAGGATTATGGACAACTGGTCGTGGGCCAGTCAGTTTCTCTGAGACAATGGCAATTGCAAACCACTTCTGAAAAACCTTGCCAGGAAAACTGCAGGGACTCAAAATCAGATATGATTGGATGACTATATCTATATCTAGATTCAGCATAATTCAAAATCTTTATAACCCTCCTAACATAATGTTTATAATTCTAATATCCACCAGCATTAATAAAGGCCACATTAACTGAGATTTAAAACAAAAGTTGTTTAGCATCTTCTTTTTCTTTGTCACAGAGTGATTAACCCTTTCTATGCTTTAACTTTGCAACCTTTGCAACCAAATACCTTATCTGCTCTTCTCACTCTGTTACTTTTGTACAAGCAAGAATATTTCAAACTTGAGTTTTAAAAAATGTTATAAGTGTAATGTAATACCTATTAAACCACATATTGAATCTGTATCTTTAGCATGCAGCTTTATGATTTAGCGAAAAGTGACAGAAATTAAAGGCTAAGTCTAGTATAAACCATTGTGCAAAGACTTAAGGTTGTAACAGGTAACATCTTCATTCTCCAGACACTTTTGTTTGATAATATACCTCCCTGCTTGCAAAAAAAGAGAAACTCCATAACTGGTCCCCAAAATCTCTTTCTAAGTCTTTACTAAATAGGAAAATTTCCATAGCTAAATATTTCAGAATATAGAGTTTAACTTCGCACAACCTTGTACAATAAAGCTAAGCCATCATCCTTAATGGAAGAGCTGCTCTACAATGGGCAAGAGATAGCCAAGCTACTCTCTTCCAATATAATTGTAGTCCAAAACATCTGAAGGACACCAGATTACCTTTTGCAAATCTAGGCAATACCTAACTGCTTCAGCTACCTTCTTTCCCAAATGTGTCAGTCCCTTTCATCAAGGACTTTTGCTTAGCCCCGAGCAAGCAAACATATAATGCAATTCTGAGCCCTTTATTTACTGAAGATTTGGGGGGGATCAGAATCCTATAGTAATTTATGTATTATCTATATTAGCAACACAATCCTTATAAGGATGTTGTAAGAGACAACATTCCAAAAAGGAAAGGAGTTGAGGAGAGAAGAAAGCATGCAATTTTGGGCACTTCTGATCCCCTGCTGAAATGACAAGGAGAGGGATAGTAAAAGAAGCTGGTCATTCAAAAGATTTGTTCAAACAATCCTGCTTTCCTTCTCATCCTCAGCTGCAGCCTCTTCAGTTGGGTTGCCTTTAGATGACAGTAAAGCTACCTGATGTATGGCTGATCAGTGGTTGATGCCTGCGTTAATAAATATTTATGCTTTGGCTAGAAAGCTCAGTAAATTTGTCAGCAGTTTAAAAACCTTAATTAATAATTAGTGTCTGCATTTAAATTAATAGGTGCTTTCAAAAATCTGTTGGAACAATCAAGAAGAGGCTAAATGAGCAATAATGAGTTCATCCCAACCAGAGGCTCCATTGTTTGGAATATGCTTGAGATTTCTTGGTGTTTGCATGCCAAATGTATGTCAGCTTGACTTTATAAATCTAACGCAACTTGGATATCAACAATGATACCTCCAGCTTTCCTCTCCTGTTTCCTTTATCTCCAAATCCTGTCTGTAGTAACTCTTGCCTGTCATTGCTAACAGAGGACTAAGAAGTTCTCCATCTTCTGGAGCTGTTTAACTAGTCCTTTCTCACGCCACTATGGCACCATGCTGACGCCCCCTTATCTTTACAGGGTTAGAAGGCTTTCTCTTGAAATCCCCACCCCCTCAATGATTTTCTAGTGCTGGGGATAACAGCTCACTTTTCTAATATCAATATTAGCAATATCAATGATGGTGGCACATGAGATAAACTTCATAAATCAAGGTCCCTCTTTTTTTTTTCATACTTTACAACAACAGTTCTGTGCTGACCGAAATAAAATGCACTCAGTTATTGTTTTTTGAATGTTGGGTTTTACTTAGTTTATTAATGTCATCTGCTCTTCATCCAAGCTCTCTACGTTGATTTAGAATGCTAGCAACTATAATCCCACACACGTTTAGAGAGCATCACACTGGGAAAAATATATGTGTGCTATAGTAAGCACAGAATCATGCTAATTAAAATATACAATCCACATTTTTTCCCAAAAATCTAAATTGCAGTTAGCAAGTCAACTAAACTGCCTTAATATATTATTTTGTTAATAGATCAAATTTTGGTGAAGGGCAAGGAAAATGGAATATAATCATTTGAGTTATGAACTTCAACAGGGCACCATTTCTCCCTTAATAAGTAGCATATTCGGCAGTATTTTACAGTAACTGTCCACAGAATTGAAGCTTCTTTTTTAAAGTTTTATAGTTGACCAAGTGTAATTATTATTGGTTATACTTGGTAAGTGCTCCAGTGAGCAATCTATTGACACAGATTTGCTACTAAAACTCCTAAGAAAATTGCATTTGTTAATTTTGCAACCAGAAAATACTAAAAATATTATAGCTGCTTTGATCTTGTGTAAGTTCTTCCATTAGACACCAAATAGCAATATGGAAAAACTAACAATATTTGAATATTTGTATTGATTCAGTTCTCAAATTTAGAGGCAAACTGAGATCAATTGAAAATTGTCTGTTGTCTTACTACAGTCAGTGTCTCATTCGAGAGGCATATCTATATAAAAGACACTTAACATCCGGCCTCTGTCAAATATTTCATAATGATTGCCCCATTTTGAAATATTGCCCTGGAGAAATTTGGCAGATATCCCAGAGGCCAAATCCGTTTTCTTATTATAATCAGAAATTAATTGCACTGGGCCAAAAGATAGGGAATTTGTTGGGTCCCACTTTTCTTGCAGCTATAAACAAGGATCCAGTTGGGTCAGCTTGAAAGCTCAACTAGCCCAAGATCCTGCTTCTCACAGGAACCACCTAGGTGGGGGTTTTTTTTGGTAAATTCCTCAAGCAGAACAAGACTGTAACAGCACCTTCCCTTTCTCTTACTTCAGTCGTGACATCGAGAGCCTATCCTTCTGAACGTGACAATCCCAAATACCATCATGACTCGGGCATTGATATCTTTCTCCGCTATGCATCTGCATCATCTCTTTTTAAGGCTAAGGGGTAGGGGGTGTCAGTCCTTTCCATCTTGCTGGAACAAATTCCAACCCTTTGTTATCTACTGTGGAAAATAGTCCTCAGCTTTATCTGCCCTGAATCTCGCTCCATTCAGTTTATTGGATAACCTTGGGGGATAAAATTATAAAGTGGAAATAACCCGTCATCCTATCAAATTTCTCTATAACATGCATCATTTTATGCATACTTTGTATCTTCCTTTTTCCTTTTTCCTAATGCTAAAAAGCTTGACATCCCATTCTTCATGGGAAGTTACTTCAGCCCCTAAAATCACTTCAGTTGCTTTTTTACTGTCTATTCCAGTTTTCAGTGTTCTTTTCCAAGTGTATCACACATTTGTATAAAGGTGGCTTTAGTTTCAATTTCTTTCCTGATTATTCTAAGATTTTTTTTTAATCCATGGATTTTTCTTCAGTAGCACTTTTCTCTTATATCCTTAATAATTTTTAATGGTGATTTCTATTAGTTATAGAAACCTATTGGCCATAGCCATTAAACTATCCAGCCTAAAATTTCCTGGATAGTCCCTAGAACTTTCTGAGAAATGATATGATGATTTGACTATTTGTAATTTTATAAAAAGACTGGAATTTTGTTTCTTAATACTACTTTTTATGCCCAAGTCCATTTTGAAAAAGTCAGTTATATTTGTGCCACATTTTCTGTGACAGATACAAAGAAGTCATTCAGCATCTCTTCAATCACTTAGGATATTTTTAACAGTCTCCACAGCCAACCTCTTGTGAAATAGTTTCTTGTTTCATGCGCACACACAAGCATTTATATTTCCTCTTTTTTCCCTTATTCTACAGTATTTATTCAGCTTATAAAAATAACTATAATGGCCACAAATACATCTTGGTAACAATACCAAAGTATCCACAGAAACATATTAAACAAATCCAAATCATCCACTAAAATATATTAAGCCTGACCATCAATCAAAAAAGTCTTTCAAGAAAGCTTGAAAAATCCCCTTTTCCCTGATTTGTATTAATGAAAATACAGAGGAAGATCTTTTTTTAAAATTCATAAGAGAAAAGGCCTTTCCTCTTGTATCCGAAAATTCCATCTGGGGATTCACCATCAACCATTCTAACTTGAATTTTCATAGTTGAAAAACATTGCTATTTTTTCCCCTCTCCCTGGAAGATCTCTCTATTATGACTTCATCTTACTCCAAAGTCTCATTCCAACTTATCTCACAAGTTTGTTGTAGGCAAAAACTGAGGAGTCCTATGTCCACTATATTAAGATTATGGGTGAAAGGTGAGACATAAACCTTAATGAATCAATTCACAGTCCCAACGCTCACACAGAGCAGGGGAATCAGTGGATTTAAATTATTTTGTCCCATTCTTGGCTTAATTAAGAAGGTTATAACTTAGTTAGCAGGCAACTACAGATAATCCTTGACTGATGACCATAACTGAGCCCAGAATTTACATTGCTAAATGAGAAATTTGTCAAATGAGTTTTGCCCCATTTTATGACTTTTCTTGGCACATTTGTTAAGTGAATCACCACAGCTGTTAAATTAGTAACACAGTTGTTAAGTAAAGCTGGCTTCCCCACTGACTTTGCTTTTCAGAAAGTCACAAAAGGTGATCACATGACCCCTGGGACTCTGCAACCGTCATAAATATGAACCAGTTGCCCAAGCATCCGAATGTAAATCATGTGGCTGTAGGGATGATGAAACAGTCATAAGTGTGAAAAATGGTCATAAGTCACTTTTTCCAGTGCCGTTGTGACTTTGAATGTCACTAGATGAATTGTTGTAAGTCAAGGACTATTTGCACTGGGCTGTGAATGGGAATAAAAGTCCCTTTTTTCAATGTCACTGAACTATGAACGGTCACTAAAAGAACTATTGTAAATTGAGGACTACCTGTATTTGATGCACAACATGCATCAATGGTTTATTTTCAACCATTCCTCAATTTCCCACTATCTACTAAACGACTGCTGACTATTCTAAAGACCCTCTTCCATTGGCATTTCTCACAAATCAAAACAATGCTGAGGCTTTTCCACTGCCAAGGGACATTTTCTGGCTTTTATAAAGAAATCCAAACTTCATTTTAATATGTCCTATTAATGCTTGTGGAGCAGCAGGGAAGGCATTTTGACCAACCCTACTATACTTAATATGGGAAAAAGAATATGGCTCAATGACTGAGCACGTACTTTATACCAGAGGTCTCCAAACTTGGCAACTTTAAGACTTGTGGACTTCAACTCCCAGAATTCTGGAAGCTGAAGTCTACAAGTCTTAAAGTTGCCAAGTTTGGGGACCCCTGCTTTATAGCCCAAGATTCAGACTCTAGAAACTTCACTTAAGAGAATTAATACTCCATATGATGTAAAATTCTCTGCTGGAGAAATTTTCTACTCATCAGATTATAATCAGACAATTTTTAAAGACTCTTCGATTAGGAACACTGCCATCCTAAGAAACCAGTGGTTTCTACAGGAGGAAGCCAAAAAAAAAAAAAAAAGGTGGGGGGGAGAAGAAGAGGAAGGGAAACTTGCCAGAAAAGTGAAGTGGGGAAAGGCTTTCTCAGCCAATTTTGCCTAAAACCCAATGAGGAAGAGTTTCCCACAAATAAAACTTGCACAAAAACGTGAGCAATAAATGACATTTTCCGAAGTGGAGAATTCTTACAAAACTTCTGGGTGAGCTGTTTGTTTTTCAATGTCCCCAAAGCTATGAGAAGTACGCCATGCATTTTGCACCCTCAGAAAAAGTGAATAGAAAGCAATCCAGGTCACCAAATCAAAATCATTATAAAAATAATCACTAGGAAAAAGAAGAGGAAGTAAAGATACATACATATATCTGGTGATTCATCAGAGCTATCTGGACAGTCCTTCTCTCCGTCACATCTCCATCCCTTGGATATACATGTGATCTGATCTTTACATGCAAATTGTTTGGGGCTACATGTCTTCGGTGCTGTTTAAAGAAAGGCAAGAAACAAAAGAAAGCATAAAAAATTAGATTCTTCTGTAAAACACAGAGGTCATTTCTAGCCTTATGATTTTATCTTCTGTCTCCCAATTTAAAAGGCTGGCTACTTAAAAAGCCACCAATTTTGACAGTGCCATTGGGCTCATACATATTCATGATACTTCAGGAAAGAGCACTCTTAAAATGAAAGGTATTCATCAAAGCAAAGCAGGAGCAAAATACAGAACAGATTTTAAGCATCATTTAATTTGAATAAATCTCTCAGGAATTCACAATTTATACATGAAAGGCTTAAATAAAGACACAAGCCAGGAACCATAGTTTTAGTTTTTGCACTGAAAAAAACTGTAAGAATCTCAAATTTGATTTTTAAAAAAACTACCATGGTGATTCATGGGAACCTACTAAAATTACACCTTAAGAATGCAGATTGTTAGGGGAGAAGACCACATTTCAAATCTGATTTTAATAGCCTTAAGGCCAGCCATTATTCACTCTGACTCAGCCAGAGGATAGCCATATGGGCCTACCTCACAAAAGAGAGAGAGACGGAGATAGAGAGACAGAAACTGATATATATCAGTCGTTACCATATATATCAGCCCTGAGATAGAGACAGAGATAGAGAGATGTGTACACACACAAACACACACACCCTTTGAAGTAGACCATGTCAGGAAGCAGATCTCCCAAGGTGGAGTTCTACCTTATTAATATAGTCTACAACAACATCATTCTGAAAACCTGATAACATTGCTCCTTCCCTCCCTCTTATACTGATAATTAAGGTAGGCAAACTGAGTTTTTCTTAAGGCTGTCCTATTTTCTAGGGTCCAGTTTTACTAGCCCTCTTCATATATATTTTATCCAAGGTCATCACTGTACACCACTTCACTTGGTAGTTAATTACTTCACTGCTGGGTTATTTCCAACAAATTATTGCTCCTCGCTGAGCTGGCTGATGGTAACTCTGCCACTTCCATTACAGTTACTGATTAAGATAGTAAATTTATTTCTAAGGCAGTTTGCTTTATTACTATGGATATATGCTGGTCTACTACAATGAATATTTTCATTGTTTGGTCTTGTTATATATCATTCTGACAGAATCTGCATTATACAAATGTAATAATTAAACGAATCAACAGCTCATACTTGCTGTCAGAAGCACTCCAAGGTGGAGATTGATGGATTAAGAGGCCCAGACAACATAGTTGTTAGAAAAGATAGTACCTTTTTAAAAAAATCACTCTGCTCCTTAGTTGGCTTCCTAAAGTCATGCATGCCTTCCTAGCAGTCTCTTTTTCTCATTCTTTGAGCTGCTATATTTCATATCAATTCCCATCTCCAGAAAACACCAGCAGGAATAGACCCCAGCTTGGAGGGCCACCAACAGACCTAGAATTACATAGCTTCTTTCAAATGGATGCTTAGCTGCTGAGCTTCATCACCAAATTTCCATGCTTGTGCATGCACTGGCTTCTCTGATGACCCTCAATTAGATCATATCAGGCCAAAACATATGCTAAGGCAACAAGCCTAAGGCGAATTGGAAAGGGAAATGTGTGACATGGTAAGGGACAAGGAAACCAAATGGAAAGAATGGGAAGTGAGAAATAAATGAAAAAAGAGAGAGAGAGAGAGAAAGATGTGTATCAGCTAATCCAGAAGTCTCCAACCAGAGGTGGTATTCAGCGGGTTCTGACCAGTTCTGGAGAACCGATAGTGGAAATTTTGAGTAGTTTGGAGAACCGGCAAATACCACCTCTGACTGGCCCCGCCCCCATCTATTCTCTGCCTCAGTGGTGGGATTCAAAAAATTTTACTACCGGTTCTGTGGGCATGGCTTGGTGGGCGTGGCAAGGGAGGGATACTGTAAAATCTCCAGTCAGAGGTAGCATTTGCCAGTTCTCCAAATTACTCAAAATTTCCGCTACCGGTTCTCCAGAACTGGTCAGAACCTGTTGAATACCACACCTCTGCTCTGCCTCCTGAGTCCCAGCTTATTGGCTGGGTCTTCTTTTGTTGCCCTGCACAGGAGAACAGAGCTGGAAAGCAGGTTAGTGGGGTGGAGAAGGAATGGGGATTTTGCAGTATCCTTTCCTGGAATGGAATGGGATTTTTTACGATATCCTGCCACGCCCACCAAGCCACGCCCACAGAACCTGTATAAGAACATTTGAATCCCACCACTGTCTCCGACCCCTTTGGTTGCGACCCAGCACTGATCCGTGCCACACCAGGAACTGGCCCTGCAGTTAAGTAAAGCCCCATCCGCACACACATGGGATCCAGGCAGCGTGTGAAACCACACCCCTCCCAGTCCACGGAAAAAACTGCCCTCCACAGAATCAGTCCCTGGTGCCAAAAGATTGTGGGCCACTGAGCTAATAGAGAGCATGTGTACATGGACAGATGCACCACCTACAAATGTGATAACGTGATAAAGACAGTCAAGGGATAATGATTCTTTCAATTAAAAAAACAATTCTTTCTTTCCTTCTGGATTCTTAAGAGACAAAACAAGTTGCGTGACACGGGGATGATCTTACAAGAGCAAGGAAAGCAGCATGAGATTAACATGGCCATCTTCACGGCCGGCCAGCCTAGGGTTCCCTAAGAGATTATCTCTGATGCAAATCAGTCCTGGATGGGGAAAAGAGTGCTTGCCTGCCTTCGCTGCAAGCAAGCTTCGGATGCAATTATTTCTGCATGGAACACTTGCTCTCTGCAAACAAAGCATACATTTGGCTAAAGGATGTCTTTCAGAAAGCTGACCATCCCCTCAAACTGTTTGCCCTTTGAAAGAGAAAAATTCTTTCCAAATGAAGAGGTAAAACACCATGCAAGCATTAAGAATGTTTGTCACATAATTCTGTTCATTCAGTGCTAAATACCAATAAGCAGTGAGGTTCTGTTAGGAGACCATTCTCAAAGAAAGCTCTCAGCCATCCCAATAAAGGCAGTGATTGGGAGGAAGCTGAAAGAGAAGGCCACTGACTCTTTATCCCAGGGAAAGGTTTGAGAGGCAAGGTTTGATGTCTAGCAAGAGAATGAGGAGTTAAGATTCTTACACACACAGCTACTCTGTGTAAAACACTTCTTGCTTGTCTAGGCAGAGCGGGAAAGAAAGTTTAGCAACACAGAGGTGGTCTTCAGCAGGTTCCGACCAGTTCTGCAGAAATTTTGAGTAGTTCAGAGAACTGGCAAATACCCCCTGTGACTGGGCCCGCCCCCATCTGCCTCCCGTGTCCCAGCTGATTTGGTTGCCCTGCACAGAAGAACAGAGCTGGAAAGCAGGTTAGTGGGGTGGGGAGGGAAGGGGATTTTGCAGTACCCTTCCCCTGCCACTCCCACCAAGCCACACCACAACCACCAAGCCACGTCCACAGAACCGGTAGTAAAAAACTTTGAATCCCACCACTGTTGCAACACATTTAACAACTGAGTTTTCCAGGCACCTAGTTTGTCCAGGCTGAGTAGGAAAAACAATGTGTGATATTAATGACTGGGCTGTAAGAATTGCACTTCAAGAAATTGCAGCTGTAATTATATTGGAACTACCTGAACTTAAGGACCTAATTAATAACTTATATTGATTTCCTTAACATAAGATAATAATCCTGCAATATTGTGAGTGATGGTTCCAAATTTATCCCATATTTCTCTGTGTGGGATACACCTATTTAATTCATAAGGACTCTGGGTATTATGGGTAGTCCTTGACTTACGGCAGTTCATTTAGCGACCATTCAAAGTTACAGCGGGAACGGAAAAAGTGACTCATGACCATTTTTCACACGGCCATCGCACCATTCCCATGGTCACATGATCAAAATTCAGAAGCTTGGCAACTGACTCATATTTATGACCGTTGTAGTATCCAGGGGTCATGGGATCCCTTTTTGCAACCCTTCTGGCAAGTAAAGTCAATTGGGGAAGCCAGATTCACTTAACCATCATGTTACTAACTTTAACAACTGCAGTGATTCGCTTAAGAACTATGGCAAGAAAGGCTGTAAAATGGGGCAGACCTCATTTAACAAATGACTCACTTAAGCAGTACAAATTCTGGGCTCAATTGTGCTAGTAAGTTGAGCACTACCTGTACTTGAAATCTAGTATTTGAAGCACATGCATGACAGTGAGATTAGGCATTATCTGATGCCTCTCTATCTGTGTACCATGTTAACAATTATTAAAGAGTGTGGTAGGATCATGAGGGGGGAAAATCCTCTTTAAGTAACTTTTGTCATTCATACTTTTGCCATTCACACTTAAGCAGAAATAACTTGCTATCATTCCCTCTTCAGTTTCCTGAGTAAACCAAACAAAACCAAAGTTATTGTTAATTATAATTACATTTTTTTTCTGCTACTCTTACATTAAAAAAAACCCAATGTATTCCTTGGGGATTTCAATTTTACTTCAATTACATTATTCAGGGAAGATTCCTGAATTTGTGTTAAGTAATGAGAAAGCTCTATTTTATTGGAAGCTTTAGTGGAGTCACGGCTGGAGAATCCTGTTCTTACTGGAACTGTTGTGAATCCTCAGCATATCTTTGCTGAAATATTTCATTTTAAAAAGCACATGTGCATCATCAGAACTAGTTATTGCCTACTTTAAACACTCCCCTGGCTGGAGGGTACCTTAAGGCGTCCAGGGTTAATGTCCTCTTCCTAACCTGCAGATATAATTATACCTCTGTCACCATGCATTACTTCAAGCAGTCAGCTTCTTTTCTCCCTACACATGCAACTTGCAAACACATAAATGCCTATAATCATATGGTATCAAGGTAAAATGTGACTAAGTTTCATGCTTCAAGCCTGCATTAGTACCAGCTCCAAATGTATCATGCAGAGGTTCTGAAATTGCATTTCAAGCTCAAACAGGGCACTACAAAGAATTCAGATCTGATAATGTTATGTACCCTACTAATAAATATCCTTTCCCAAAAACAATTTTGTTTGCTTTGTTTC